TATTTGGTGGACGATTTATATTTTAATTTTCCGCATTAGAACTCGGTTCGATTTATTCAGGTTGGGTTTAAATTACATAAAATTGGCTTTTCTAAATTAAAATTAAAATTAGATAATAGTAGGTTAAAAGAGGCCGGGTTTTTCCGGAAGGCGTCGTGGCTTCCAATGGGCCGCGCGTACCTAAATTCCTTTACCTAGAATCGCCACATTTTGCGCCTGACCAGTATTTTCAAATAATTGGCTCTTAAATAAAATTGGTGTTAAATGGAAGTCACTTTTATAAAAAATAAAATTGGAAACGGTTCCATACCGAAAAATAAATGGTGGCGACTCAAATTATTTTATCAAGACCGATTTATCGGCACCATCGCTAAATTTTCCTAAAAAAACACGTTTTGTCACCATTTCCTTAAATAAAAATCCACATTTCCAATAATAATAAAGCAAAAAGTTTATTCGGGGTCCTCCGGGGTGGGATCTTTACGGACGAAAACAGCATTGGCGACCTTCACTGGGGATTTGCAGTCCACTAATCCCCGGTTATTTTTAATAACTAAGTGGTTGCAATTAAGGAGTGATCTAAAACCTACTTTTCCAATAAAATTGATTAGAAAGCCGTTGGAAAAATTCTTTAATCGTCCTGTATGTGCCTAATTTGCTTTCCTTTTCTTTTTCTAGGGTTTTTGCATTCCATAGCCGCATTTCTCTCTTCTCACCCACTTTCTAACCCATACAACCTTTTCCCGGTACTGTTGTTAACTTTGGACGGTGAATCCAGCCGTAAACCTCGCGTTTTTAGGTACATCCATCGAGGAATTTAACAATATCTACCAACCCGCAAAGCCTAGTACTTAAAGGTTGCGTCAAAAAGGAGTTAGGCCCAACAAAGCTCCGAATCCTGTTTGCGGAACCCAGACTTTGTAAAGCCTAATAAGACTAAAGCCAATGGTATAGTTGTAAAGCCTTAGGTTAGCTTCCCTAAGGTTCAACCCGATTCTGTTGCTGTTATTATGCCGCAATTTCATTTCCGAAGAGTTTGTATCTGTCAATCTCAAAACCCCCTGTTAGTTGTCGAGATCAGACCAAATCCTAGGAAATAGATGTCAAATTTTATTACCAATGGAATCCGTTGTGGGAGAAATAAGGTGGATAGGCATGATTTCCCCAACTCCCGTTTCCCTTTGTATCTTATGAATATAAACTGTACATATGTCTGTGCACATTTCATGCCCACCATGTACATTTCTTCTTTCATCAACGCATGCATTAATAAGAATTTTTCTTTTCAACCATGCATTAATAAGAGCTAATTTTCGATATGGACGTTTGACCTTGGTTTTGAGACTGGACCTTAAATTCGTTTTGAATAATAAATGCAATCACTTATAGCGAATTTATAATCAAAAGAAAAGGGAGGTATAAGGGGGTTGCGATTCCTTTGTACTTTTACATTTCTTGCATTATCTAAAAATAAGTGAGAGATTATAGAATTTGTAACAAGAAAAAATAAGATCCTGCTTGGGATCATATGTTCCAAGGCAAAAAGTAAGGATACAAAAATACATAATAAAATAAAAATAAACACAAAAAATGTTCCGCTCGGAAATTCTTTCATTCCGAGGCAAAAGTTAGGGACTTGAGAGAAAATAGCCGACCGTAAATCCAAAAGGAATGGTCGACGACAGATAATGCTAGAAATATTTAAATACAAAATAAGTTATTGCCATATTATTCACACCAAATTTTGGGTCCAGTCGTTGAAATCGAGATCTTATTTCCATACCGATCGTTAGCACATTAGATTTGCATTTCTCATCCTATGTGCCTCCATTTTCTCATGCATACATGCAGGACCTGCTTTAACTCAAGCATTTTTTGTATCAGAATTGATTCTTCCCAGGAAATTGCTTCGAGAACTTGGCACCGACACCCTGGTCAACGCTTAGTCAGAACATCCCCAATCCCCGAGCCTAATCCCCAATCCCCGAAGCCTATTCCAGTCAGTCTCTGTGAATTATTTCAAGTTCCAGTCAGTTCTGTGAATTATTCAAGTTTGTTGGATTCAGATTCTGATTCAGATCTAGTAGAAATGGCTGATGACATAGCGAATGAGACCGGGTTTTCTCAAGCCCAGATAAGGACTATTACTCAGATAATAGCTGCTGCTCTCGCCCAGGATAGGGCACAAAATCAGACTCCTCCTACATCAAGTAGCCAGCCTGTGGTTGAGGAGAGAGAAATCCCAGAACCTGTTTCAGATAATCAGGCCTCTACTGGCAATACCGCCCCAGCAGAGAGTGATCTGATCAAGCAACTTGCTGAGCTGAAAGACAAAGTTGAGAAAATGTCTGTAGCAAAGACAAAGTTGAGAAAATGTCTGTAGCAAAGGAAAGGGATCTGATCACCAACTTGCATATAACTGAATATGTCTTGCACCCAACCAGCTCCACTTCGTTCAACACTTTTAAGCACACTGTGTTTGAGGGGGACAATGACCCGCGGTCCCATCTGTCTGAATTCCTCCGGGTTTCACAAATGAATCGATACAATGAAGAGGATGTCTTACAGGCATTCCCACAAACACTGCACAAGAGTTATCAGAGGTGGTATGATGGTCTAGATATGGAGACACAGAAGAATTGGGTCAAATTGCAGACCGCTTTTCTGAAGCATTTTAAGACTGATGATAGTGATGAATTTGGCTTGCGTGATTTGGAGAGTTTGAGACAAGAAAAGGATGAAACTTTCTGAGACTATTATCGGAGGTGGAGAACAAAGCTATTTATGGTCCAGACAAGGCCGAAAGACCAAGAACTGATCAGAATTTTCTGTAGAATTCTGTTACCCTTCCTCAAAGAGAGAATGCTAGCCCAACATCTCATTGATTTTGCTCTAGTTCAAAGGGCTGGTTTGAACATATAGTTCAAAGGGCTGGTTTGAACATAGAGGAGCTGTATAAGGATGAGAAAAAGAAGAATCGAGGGTTTGGCAACTATCGGACCTCCTATAATGATAGGAATGCCGGAAGCAGCAACCCGAACCAGTCATGAAGCAGTAACACAGTGGGTGCTGTCAATGAAAGAGTGAGAAGAGAATTCACCGATCTAGGAAGACCTTTGAGTACGGTCATGAGATCCTGCATTAAGAACGGAGTGCTTTCCAAGCTGCCAGTTAATCCGGCCGAACCTATTCGGGGTAGGCATATGGATCGGAATTGCGACTACCACCAGTGCAAGGGGCACTCTACTGATGAGTGTTTCAAGTTGAGGCACGACATTCAAGATTTGATAGGCAGTGGAAAGATAACCAAACCCTCTGAGAGAAACAAGCCGAGCACTAAGAACAATCCAAGTACCAAGAACAATCCACTGCCTCAATACCAGTACAACTATCCACCCCACAAGTCTCAGTCGGGTGGATCAGTTAATGCAATCGGAAGTGGTCTACCAGAGGAACTGGTATTAGCAGAAGTTGAGTGGGAAGAAAGAATGTGTGCAATGTTGAACATATGGGACGATTGTAGCAGCGAGGAAGATGAAGAGAAGAGGCCCGTGAAAATAGAAATTGAAAAGAGTATCACGGTAAAGGTGGGCGAAGTACCAGAGAGTGAAGACGAGCAGATACAGCTCGCAATCCAGAAAAGTCTAGCTGATCAGGAAGAGCAGTGGTATTACAGTAGTGAGGAGGATGTGAATGAAGTGGGCGAATGAAGTGGGCGTCCAAAGCTTAACCCGAAGTGGGCGAGTGTATAATCCTGACAATAGTGCTCAGTCTAAAGGGAAAGAAGTTGCCACTGATCGAATGAGAAAGAAGACAAACAAGGAAGAAGACAACAGACAAGGGCGAAGAACAGCCCAGAGAAAAGAAGAAGGAAGAGGAAATGGGGAAAATGCAAAAGAAGACTGTCGAAGTAGGCGAGGGTAGCCAAAACAGAACACCTAGCGGTGTAACGACCAATTCAGTGTTGAGCCAGCTGCAAAGGACAAAGGCTGATATTTTGTTATGGGATTTGCTAATAGCCTCTAAGGAGCATAGGGAGTCCTTGTTGGAAGCCATGACATTTGTGAGAGTGCCTGCCTGTATACCGAGTGTAGACATGATTAATGTTTTGCAACGCAGAATTGGGGAGATCACCTTCTTCGATTCTAACCTTCCACCAGAAGGGAGAAACCACTTCAAGCCCCTATACATTCAGATTGCTGTCAACGGGCGGGAAACCCATAATGTAATGGTGGAAAACGGGTCAGCCTTATGTGTATGCCCATTGAAAATGTTGTCAAAATTCAAGAGAGAGGAATCAGAACTTGAACCATCCAACATGGTGGTCAAAGCATATGATAATACCATGCGCAATGCAAAAGGGACTTTCAGAGCAAAAATCTCGACAGGGGCCATAGAGAGTTGGGTAATGTGGTTGTTCTGGATATACTGGCCAGTTATGCTTTATTGTTGGGGAGGCCATGGCTTCACCCTCTAGGTGCAATCCCCTCCACCTTGCACAGAAAAGTGAAAGTTCAGGCGCAATCCCTTCCACCTTGCACAGAAAAGTGAAGGTTCCCTGGGGTACTGAGGTGGTGACCATTAATGCGCAAGAGGATTTGAATGTGGCAGCAGTGGAAGGTCTTGAGTTGACTGTCCCTTTGTCTGGTTTCCAAGTGGCTATGATTGATGTGCCAGTTAATGGAAGTAAGAGTGCAGTAAACCGAATGAGCCCTTTTTCTAGAAAAATGATGAAAAAGATGCAGTGCCAATATGGCAAAGGGCTAGGCCGGGACTTACAAGGAAGGTTTGAACCTCTATCGTCAGCACATGGACAACAAGACCGACGTGGGCTGGGATATTCAGAAAGCAGAAAGAAAGAGAAATATGAGATCTAGTCTCCGGTTAGAGAACCAGTCTGAATTAGATTTTCTTCGTCCCAGAGGCTTCAGGGGAATTTCAGAGTAGGGGAAAGACCTATCCTGAGTAGGGGAAAGACCTATCCTGGCCTCGAAATCTTCATGACAGACTTTGAGGAGAAATTGATCAAATCTCCTGAACCTTCCTTTGAACAGCTAGTTGAAGGCACAGAATTCATGGTGGGGATGGTTCAAACAGGCGATGGAACGGAATGGTCACAAAAGCTGTCTGAATTTGAAGATTTCCTTGGGATTGGGGATGAAGCTTCCAAGATGGCGCAAGAGCAGAAAGCTAAGGCAAGGATCCTCCAGTCAGTGCTAGCAGCCGAAGATGCCAAAGAAGCAGAGGGGAAGGTGTTGAAGATGGCAAAGCTTGAAGAGGAGAAAGCAAAAGCTGTCCCGGAAGCAGAGGAAGCACCACATGCTGATGAAGTAATCCAAGCAATAAAGAATAGTTGTGATGAATGTATCGAACAGGCTATTAATCCTGTCTTATATTTTCTTGATTTTTGTTTTGAGAACAATTTAGATGGTATCCCTTTACTATTTCAATCAATGGAAGTAAATTTTGACTATTTGTTTTCTTGTTTTCCTAATTGTCACGTTCATAGCATTGATTATACCACGCGCATATTTGACATAAATGCATTGCATCATTTTGCATTTAACTTAAGCACCACTGAAGATCCTATGCATTTTGCATTTAACTTAAGCACCACTGAAGATCCCTAAAATAAAATCGAAATCAGATCAGTACTTAAACCTGAACTTAGATCAGGATCTTTAAGAATGTTCTTAAGAGAAAAATTCAGAGGTTTTTGCCTGGAGCTACACGCTGACATGCCAGGAAATCGACAAGGTCAATCGCAGAACACCTCATTCCTACTGACCCCAAAGTATTAAGACAAGTGAAGCAGAAGAGGAGAACGGGTCAGACCAGAATGTTGAAACAGGATAAGATCAAGGCCGAGGTCCAGAAATAGTTGGATGCAGGATTCTTAGAAGTAGTACACTAATCTGGATGGCTCAAATATATCCAATATAGTCCCTGTGCTGAAGAAAGACGGGAGGATAAGGGTTTGTGTTGACTATAGGGACCTAAATAAAGCCTCACCTAAAGATGACTTTCCATTTCCGCACATAGATGTTTTCATTGACAGTGCTGCCGGAATGGGATATTATTCTATCATGGACGGATTCTCCGGATACAACCAAATACTGATGGCCTTAGTTGACAAACACAAGACTGCCTTCACCATGGACTTTGGGACCTTCTGCTATAGAGTGATGCCATTTGGACTGAAGAACGTCGGGGCAACATATTAGAGAATGGCTACAACATTATTTCATGATATGATCCATAAAGGATTGGAAGTATATGTGGATGATATGGTGATCATGACAAGAAGCAGGAAGAGCATGCAGAGATGCTAGAAAAGTTCTTTACACGGGTTAAACAGTACAACCTAAGACTCAATCCCAAAAAGTGCGTAAAAGTGCGTATTCGGAGTAACGAAAGGGAAGTTGTTAGGTTTTGTTGTAGGACCTAACGGGATTGAGGTTGACCCTGACAAAATAAAAGCCATTTAGGATATGGAACCGCCAACAACTGAACGTCAGGTGAGAAGCTTCTTGGATAAAATTCAGCACATCAGCATGTTTATTTCCAGGCTATCCATCACTTGTGCTCCGATCTTTAAGCTCCTTAAGAAGAATCAGCCAGTTAACTGGAATGAGGACTGCCAGAAAGCCTTTGATCACATAAAGAAGTATTTGATGAATCCACCAGTGCTGAGTTCGCCTAGACGAGGAGAACCTCTGATCCTGTATTTGTCTATAGAGGATGCAGGAGTTGGGGGCAATGTTTGTGCCAGACGCTGCTGGAGTAGAAAAGGCCATCTATTACATCAGCAAGAAACTACTGCCTATCGAGGAGAAGTACAATTTAGTGGAGAAAACGTGTATGGTAGTAGTATGGTCGATAAAGAAGTTGAGGCCTTACTTTGATTTCTTCAGGGTCACTTTCGTTTCCAAAATTGATCCTATTAAGTATCTGCAGAGAACGCCTACTCTAGAAGGACAGCTGTCCAAATGGTTAATTCAGATGTCCAGTGTGGATGCAGAGTTTGTCACGAAGAAAACGGTCAAAGGACGAGTTGTGGCAGAATTCCTGGCAGAGAACCCCGTTGCAGATGATGAATCATGGGAATTGGAGTTTCCAGATGAACACTTGCTATGTTTTGAAACAGGGGCTTGGAAATTGTACTTTGATGGATGGGCCAACAGAAATGGAGCCAGAGCTGGTATTGTTATAGAAGCACCTAATGGCGAGGTCACTTAAAATGGCGGAGGTCACAATGAATGTACAAGAGATTATTGTTTCTGGTCACCAACAACAATGGCTGAATATGAAGCGTGCATCATGGAATGAAGCTCTTCTTGCTCAGGTGCTAAAGGAAGTCGACGGGTGATAGAGAAATTCATTATTGGTTTATCGAGCATGCTAAACGAGAGATGGAAAGTGGAAGAAGAAAGATTGAAGCCTATGTCAGTAACTTTGTTGAAGAAGGCAGCACTCTTTGATAAGATCACCTTTACTTACTTACATAGGAAGAACTTAATAATAGAATTCCGGAATGCTTGGCAAACCTAAAGCTCGCTTGGAAGGATTTAAGCAAAAGTTTCCAAAGAAAGCCATTCATCAATTACTGCGGCAAATATCCCGTGCTATGAAGAAGCATTTTCATTTTGTGAATCAGGTCGAGTCGGAGGAAGAACCCTGGTTTACGGATATTCTGCGGTACATGAAAGACGAAACTTTTTCTGATGATGCGATAAAAGAAGATTGTTCAGTCTTGAGAAAAATGGCTCTGAATTACGTCCTGGCTGATGGCGAACTTTATAGGAGAGCTTGGGACGGGATGCTGCTAAGATGCGTGAGTAAGAAAGAAGGAGAAGAAATAATGAAGAAGATCCATGAAGGAGTCTGTGGTATTCATTTGAGTGGCATGAGCTTAGCCAGAAAAATCAAGAGACAGGGTTATTTTTGGATGTAGATGGAAGGTGACTGCGTCAATTATGTAGATGGAAGGTGACTGCGTCAATTATGTACGTCATTGTAAAGCCTGCCAATACCATGATAATAAAAGCCACTTGCCTGCTGTTGAACTCCATCCAATAGCTCCCTCTTGGCCTTTTTCTACATGGGGTATAGACATCATTGGCAAAATCACGCCAACAGCATCGAACGATCATCAGTATATATTAGTTGCAGTGGACTACTTCTCTAGATGGATCGAGGCTCAATCCTACAAAACTCTGACTGCAGAGCATGTGGCTAGATTAATTGAACAGAACATTTTCTGTCGCTATGGTGTTCCCCATCACATAGTTACAGACAATGGTTCTCATTTTCAAGCAGATGTTGATGTCTCTGGGTCAGTTGCTATACAGGTATAAGGTGAAGCATCACCCATTCTTCTCCTTATCGCCCTCAAAGCTAATGGTACAGTAGAGAGCCGCGAATAAGGAGATTAAAAGAATCCTGTCTAAGATGTGCGAGAAAGTATAGAACTGGGCGAGAAAACTTCCTTTCGCGCTCTGGGGGCATGCGCACTATCCTCAAATTAAGATCAGTGAATGGAGCTTCTCCTTTCGAGCTCGTATATGGGATGGAGGCAGTGTTACCAGTAGAACTCGAAAAGAAGTCTCTCAGGGTTTTTGTGGAAGCTGTTGTGGAAGCTGGTCTGACCGAGGAAGAATGGGTCAAGAAAAGGTATGAGGATCTAGCGCTTTTGGATGGAAGAAGATTGAACGCTCGATTCCAAGATCAGATGAGAAAAAGAAGGATTGCTCGTTTCTACAACAAATGGGTACATCCAATGGCTCTAAAGAATGGAGATTTGGTATTGATCAGATTGTTGGATCATGAAGCCCAGAATCACCCTGGTGGGAAATTCAAACCAAACTGGCATAGACCATTCAGAATTCAGAAGCTATTAGCTAAAGGTGCCGCTGAATTAATCACCATGGAAGGGAAGCCTGTCAACCGGATTGTCAATCAGGAACAAATGAAAAGATTCTATGTCTAAAATTATGATTTTGAAAAAAAAAAAAAAACTAGCTAAGTTGAAAACCCGAAAGGGCGGAGGGCGGCTTAGGCAAGAAATGAGCTCGCTAGGTTGAAAACCCGAAAGGGCGGCCTAGGCAAAAGTTAGAGCATAATAAATAATGATAAAAAAAAAGATTTTTGGGATCAATGTGTGGTGCTTAATTTAAATGTGAAATCTATGCCATGCGTTCGTGACAGATTTGTGAGTAGTTGCTCAATGCCATCAACTTGACTAGGAGGAGAATAAGTGAATGAATAGTTAGAATGAATGACCATTGTATTAAAATAAGTTTTCAAATAAGTTTTCTTTACTTCTGTATAATGTTGAAAAGAAGTAAGATTAATAAAGGGTTTGAATTTCAAAATTTTTCTTCCTTTTGTTTCGGGGATACGGTCAAAGAATGCAAGATCTTCCCCTCTGCTTATCCACTCATCTGACCAAGATTGGCTCATCTATTTTGAAAATGTTCTTGCTGTTGGTCCTGCCTAAGTGATGAATTCTTTTTAAACATTGATTGGGAGAATGAACACCATTTTCTCAGTGATTTCCTTGGAAAGATCAATAAAACCATGGATAAAAACCTTAGTACTCAGTAGGTTCATGCATACATAAAGAAGTTAAGTACTCAGTAGGTTCATGCATACATAAAGAAGTTACATATGTTATTTTTGTTTGATCTTTGCAGGTAATAAAATAGTCACCCCATTCTTTTTATTTCCTAATGTAAGCTTCTGTCTTTAAATAATAATCCATTTTTATGAAGCATTTCTTTATTAACCCAGGGGCAGTGGGCCCAAATAATTAACACAACAAATAATTTCGAAGGAAAAGATTTGTTGTCTTTTGATTGACCATGTGTGTAGGAAGCAGGAATCAATAAAGGCAGAACCACCAGCGTCAGTAATTGAAGGAAAGGAGACACATTAATTAGGAGCTCATGGCTCTGGAATACAGGACAGTGCAAAGAAGAAAATAACAACAACATTTTATTCTAGTACGGTCTATCATCAAAGCCCAATCTTCACAGAACCTAGAATCATCATGGGGAAAAGAACCAGTTCACATACTCAGGTGTCACAGTGTCTTGTATCACTCCTCGACCCAGGTTCCTGGTGTTTCGGTTTCGCCAACGGTCAGCTAAACTGGTCAACAAACGCTGCGTCATGAGACCACTCTCAAAGTTGTGGATTCTGGGAACGCATTGTATCATTCCGTATTGACGGCTGATCCTGTCTGGGAAATAGGCTATGGAACGGTCTAGACTGGCGTGTAACACGTAATTAAGGTTCATACTTCCAGTAGTGACCAGTCTGATCCTCCACCAAGGACAAGTCCACCGAATTGTCGGGTTATCCCCAAAGTCGAAGTGTCCTCGAGTCCTAGGCCGAAAGTTAGCAGGGCCATAGGTCGGAATTAAATGAGCTAGGACCGAAAGAATCAGGCTTAACTTGTCTAGAGCCCAGGTCTGCAGTAACATCGGACAACCACGATGGTGAACATTAAAATTGGTGATGTGAAGGGCAATATCCCTAACCCAGCACATCGTCTCCCCCATGATCATCAAAAAAAAAAAAAAAAAAAAAAAAAAAAAAAAAAAAAAATAAATCGGACAACCAGCGATGGTGAACATTAAAATTGGTGATAATGTGAAGGGCTAAATATCCTAAACCCAGCACATCGCCATGATCATCATGAAGACAGTACGATGATGCATTTGCATGTCACGAACAACTGTCAGAAGCTGAAAATCTCTAATTCCAGGTTGGCAGTTCTTCAGGGCATACGTATTCAGCAGCAAGAAACAGCAGGCTCGAATCCAAGAAGGATCTATATCCATGGACATAACCCTACTCAGAAAAGGCTCCAAAGGAAGACCTTGATCTGTGCTTATGCCGTTAGGAAGATAAACCGGACACAGGGCCACAATCTCGGCTAGATCATACCTAGGGCCTAGGGGCAAGGCCGGAGTTTCATCTTGCTCAGGGTGATGATCCATCACGGCACACATTTCCTCATAGGTCGGAGTCACTTTAGAGTCTTCAAACCGGAAAACCATGGTGGTAGGATTGAAATGCGTGACGAGCCAAGACAAGAAGCCATGGTCGGGTTTTAAGTTTTTAAAATATTTCAACCAGGCAAGTTGGTTCATAGGAGGAATCTGCCATAGGTCGTCGGGAATGGATTGGACGAAGGATGAAACTTGGTTTCTGAAAGCCATGGAAAAGGATTATCTAAGAAACAGATTTGTTTTGAGTACTGGAAGTGAAGAAGATGTAAAAGGAAGCCTCCATTTATAGAAGTGTAAAGGGTTTCGTGAATGAAGCACCATCATTATTTGACCTAATATTTACTGTCAATAGTGGTTGGAAGAGCATTTATACATAGGTTGCTTCGGTTGGTGAACATTTAAGCCTGCATTAATAAGAAGGGCAGCTTGTACAATAAGGATGGTTGAGTCATTACGGCTGCATTAACCAAGTGGACCGCCCTGTCAGGTAAGTACTACGATCCACTTTTATGTCTGATTGATTTTTGTCGTATTTCATTTTAAATTCCTTGCTTTGTTTTTATTTCATTTCACTTCATTTATTCATTTATAATAAATTGGTTCGTTGATCACTAACGAAGTGGACCACTCTTGTGAATAAGTGGGACACCGCTATTTTGCATTTTTGTGTTTTGTTTATGCAGGAATCAAATTTCAAAATAAGTGGGAACACCGCTAATTTTGCCATTTTTGTGTTTTGTTTATGGCAGGAATTTCACAAGTTGTAAGAAATAAACACATAAAGGATACTGTAATAAAAGCAAAATACTATAAAAAAATAAATAATGTTGTAAAATTAGTAAAATGTACATTAATCCTATAAACTACAAAAATGTTCAAAAAAGTGGCTGAAACACAGAAGCAGGGCTATCGACTCCTCCGGCTCGGAAGAGCAGCTGCCTGAGGGGTGGAGACGGTGGTGCATCATCGGAAGAGGAGCCATCATCATCCTCCTCGGAGAAGTCCAGTGGAATCCCCTCTGCCTCTAGCCTCGTCCGAAGCTGATCCACCTCCATCTGGAGTCGGGCCATAGCACCGGACTGGCGAGCCATAGCACCGGACTGGCGAGACTGGTGCCTCCGCAGCCTCCCAATCTCCAGATCCTGTAAAAGCAGAAAAATGTAAGAGAGGTAAATAGAAAAGAAGCAAAAAGGTAAAGAAATTCATACCCTCTCATGACGGTCAGAATAGAGCCGGCCAATGAAAGACCGGGCGAACTCGAACTGCTGGCACAACTCCCGGTATCTCTGAGCAGGCACCTGCAAACACAGGAAAACATTTAATAAGAAATTACCCAGGTAAAGTATTCCCCTACTTAGTGATTCATTTTACTACATACGTGTGTGGCGTGCTCAGGATCCAGCTGCGGTGGTGGAGGAGCCTGCCTGAAGTCAGCAGGAATGATGATGCCCGACCCAAGGCCCAGACCAGAATCTAGTACCACCTCCATGCCAGGTGGGAATGGGACATCACCCAGTACAGCTCCCGCTGGTCCAGCCGGAGCAGCCGCCGCCTCTGCCTCGGCCTCAGCCTCCGCTCGATAGTGGGCCGCCATCCTATGCTTCTTCCTCTCCTGCAACAAGCCACAGAGGAAGCTACTTAGTCACTTGGTTAAACAGTTGAAGAAAAATGGGTAAGATTGAAAATAAGAGAATTACCTAAGTGTACTCCAGAACCTCTGGTAGCCGAGCCTGCATCCGAGTGGAGAAGTAGGTAGCATAGTCACCAGCCGACAAGAAGCTATCAGCAGAGGAGCCCTCATACTCCCCTCCCAGTCCTCTGCAGTCATGCCCTCCAGCAAGCACATATGGCGAGGAGGAGCATGAGGCACTCGCCGCTGTGCCGGGCATCTCGCCGCTGGCCGGGGATGCCCGCTGGATATCATACGACCTCTCTCCCCCAGGAAAGTACGGGTGGCCGCCTGGATATCATAGACTCTCTCCCCCAGGAAGTACCGGTCAAGCCAATACCCCTGCAGCAAGAGTCTAGATCGCGTGTAAAGCTCTGCTACCTCGCGATCGGGATAGGTCCTCCAGGCCTCTCCCTCCCAGGGAGTCAGAAGCAGCTGCAAAACAGAAGGGTCAGTAATTATACAATGAAAAAAAAAAGAGAAAAGAAAAAAAAAGAGAAGAGGAGCTAAGTTGTTCAGAGGATTCTTGTACTTACATCAGATAAAGCCCGATCATTCAGGAAGCACCTCCAATAATGGGGATCCTCGGTACTGGCAAAGGTATGATGGCAGTGGGCCAGATACCGAGGGATCTGCCTAGAGTCAGCCGGAGTGTCGCCACTCGGACCGCCTGGGTAGATGCGGTACTCATAGGCCCACACCTACAGTACACATCACAGGAAATTCAGTATACAGTTGAACAGTTAAAAAAAAGTTGATAAAGGAAGAAGGTGAAGAGAATAAGAGTTTTACCTCTAGTGGCCGGATGAACTGCCAGTTTGACTCACCACTACCACGGGTCCATACATCAAGACTGTGATAGAGGTGAGCCAAGGCAGGAGTGGCCCAGTCGAAAGAGCCCATCTAGCTCAGGTCTCGCAAGCATACTAGCACCGTCGGGTCTCCCTTATTCTGGGAGGTGCATAGTAGCTGAGATGAAATAATGTAGAAGAGGAAGGACTGGGCGGCCTGATCCCTCTCCTCTCAGGTATAGGCTGGAGTAGCAGGCCGAGCCTCCACAGACAACTCTCTCCACGCAGCTAGCCTCGTCCTGATCCGCTCGGCCTAGAAGCGATAGATGACCTCATATGACACGTATCCCTGCGCGGTGTACCTAGTCTGGGTGGTCACATCGAGCAGAGAGCGGACCAGCTGAGCTCCCAGAGTGGCGGTCTGGTACCGAGCGTCCAGGGGAGCGACTGGACCAGCAAATCTGGCCCTGTAATAGCAGCGTAGTCGATCGGAGTAAGCGTCATCTCACCG